CTCTCTCTCTAAAACGAAATATAAACTCTCAGCTTAACTATATATATATATTTATGTATATATATATATGTATGAATTTATATATATATATACAGACATCCAATAATTACTTTCTGAGAGTTTGATTAGAATCTACCTGGTGGTTCCTGTGATTTTTTTGACTGTAAGCAGACACCCCCTTCCCCACACAAGCAAAAACATCGTGATAGATGTAGATTGGGTCAAAAGTATTTTATAACTTCCAATTTTGAGGAAAATGTGTTGCACCAGGCTCAAGTTCCGTAGTTTGACTTTGCATCACTTAAGTACAGTTTGAAAAAAGTATACATCTTTTCAGTGGAAAAGTTATGAACATTTAATATCATACCTGTTGTAGATAGCTCTTGGCGTAACCTCGTTTTGGAGAATGTAGTTTAATTCTGACGTGACTAGTCTGAGTGGAGACTCAAGTGGATTACTCCTGAGTCCTCCCCTAAAACATCTCAAATCTCAGTTTGTGGGGGTGGTTCATCCAAACATTTGAATATTTACATCACCGTCACTTTTGCATTACATGGTTATTCCAGCAAATTTATTCTATCGCTGCCTCAGGCAGCCCAGAAGATGCTACAGCTAGCTGCTACTGCTGCTATTTGTACTTGAATAAGGCATAGTAAAGTAAAACAGTGTAAAGGTTTATGTGTTTATTTGACTTTTTTGAGATTTAACTGGTTTTAAGACAACAGAAATCCACTTTGGTTCTTCTCCCCTTTAAACAAGGTTGTTCAAGGAGCTTGATGTGAAGATGTTTATGATCCTTTAAAAAAGGTGAAGGAGAAAATATTAATAAACACTTGCAGGGTTTATATAAATTCTTGGTTTTCTATGACCACAGGAAACAATTTAGCACTTATTAATAAATACACTCTCACAGCAGAGTTTTTCAGCCAGCTGACCTGTACTTACATTATCCACACTTTGTTACACATTAGTCCTAAAAATACTAATATTGTGTTGGTGCACTGATGGCTCCTTAAGCCAAATTTGATTTCAGTAAGCTCTCAGCTGCACAGCATGATTTATACACACGTCCCCTCTGCAGTGGAGCGCTGTCATTTGACAAAGCTCCAGGAGATGCAGAAATCAGGATGACAGACACAGTGACCGTCCTGCTATTTCACACATTACGTCTGCCTGCAGCCGCGTCAGAACAACTAAAGGAGGATACAAAGCATAATGGAAGGTGGGTGATGGCCATTTACTGAGGCTGAATGGGGCAAAAAGCATACAGATGCTGTCACTGATAGAGGATGAAGTGACTCTCTTCATTCTCTATCAGTGACAGTCGGTGTGCTTTTTATCAGTGCAGTTTTGAAGTAATAAAACAGTTTTGTGACTAAACTTTCATGTTAATACAGAATGCCTATTCTGCAGGTTGTTGTTACTATTTCTCAATAATCAAGAGAAATGTGGAGATCTTTTCTTCTTGATGCATTTCACGTCAAAAGAAATTAGACACGATAACACGTAGCAGGTTTAAGTGATGCCATGTTTCTGAGAAATGAGCAACGTTTTAAATGTTTGGTTGTAGCTACAATAGTTAAGATTGAGACAGTTCAGACCTGAGCAGATAAATAAAAAACATTTGAAGAAAGATCATCCAGTTTCTCTTTTCATCCAACCTAAAATGACAAATATCAAACTGTAAATCTAAACATTTTTATTTCTTTAGTTCATTTTATTTATTATATGTTTCATCTCCCTCCCATTTGCTGATGCGCTATGAATGAACTACAGAACTATCATTAGCATTTCAACTAACGAAGTCAGAGCTGATTGGAAACGGGTCAATTTTCAGAACTTTTACATAATTACACTGACGTCAGTCACAGAGATGAAACTCTCGCACGAGATATTCAGATTGTTGTATCCTGCTTGGCTCCCCACTTTATTTTCTGTGACATCCTACAAAACCTTTTTTTTTTTTAATTTAAGAATTCAAAATGTACTTTTTTTTTTCAACTTTATGTTTTTATTTTTCATTTTTCAAATCTATTTTGGCATTAAACAGAAAAGTAGAGAAAAAACAAACAAACAAATAAATAGGAAGGACAAAACATAAAAACATGAGGGAGTTTCACAGGTACATATCATTTCTTACAAACATTGTCATCTATCACAGAATGTGAAAAATTGTCCCATTTTTTCCCCAGTATTTTTCCCCTCTCTGTTGTTGTAGACAGAGAGAATAAGTCGTAAGTTCCCAATTGTTCAAATGTACTTTGAAGTTCTGAAAGGATGGTGCTGTCTCAAAAAGAACAGAACAAGTTGTGCATGTATAATAATCA